CAAAGTTTAAACTCTTTGACTTTTCGAAAAGCGAGAATTGTATTTTTTTACGGAGGCAGTAAAAAGTATAGTCTTTGTCTAGCACGTGTTCCGGGACAAGTTTTTCCGAGCGTCTCACTAGTAGAGAAATGACCTTTCATCTACTTCGATTCTAGTCTCGATTTTTTTTTGCGTCCGAGAGTAGAGGGAGAATTAGTCCCGGTTGAAGCTACCAACCGGGACTAAAGGCTCCTGTCCTGGCAGGCTTTCGCATCATGCCACCTTTAGTCCCGGTTGGAGCCTAAAACCGGAACTAAAGGTCAACCTTTTAGTCCCGGTTGGTGTTACCAACCCGGACTAAAGGTCGTTCATACCAACCGGGACTAAAGGGTGACCTTTTAGTCCTGGTTGGTATCACCAACCCGGATTAAAGGTCTTTCACCCAGGACTAAAGGTATCCCATGGGTCAATTTAAAAGGAGAGTGTCCAGGACTCTGTCACATATGGTGTACAACTAAGTTGGTAAGGAGTTTATGCGCGAGGAGAGAGGTCCTGGGTTCGAATCTCATGCACCGCAAGAGAGGTCTCCCTAGTATTTTGTTTATTTTTTCTCCTGGGGATAAACCTTTAGTCCCGGTTATGTGCGGCAGGGAGCAACTCAAACTAAATTCATTATTAGCCTAGCAATGGAATCGCGGTAGCAATCTGATGATTGGTTCTCCGGAGAATTTTTTTTTTATTGCAACACTGTCTCCCTTGCAAAGGAGTTTGGTGGTCTGGGCTTTATGGATGTTAGAGTCAGGAATATTTGTTGTAAATGGGTAAACAAGCTAGAAAGAGGAGAAACTTGCATTTGTTGTGAACTTTTGAGGAGAAAATACCTAGATGAGAAGAGTATCTTGAGAAAGAGTGGGTCCCAGTTTTAGAAAAAAATGCTCAAACTAAGAGACTGGTATCAGTTTGACAAATGCATCAAAGTTAAGAGTGGGAATCAAAACATATTCTAGCATTACCTTTGGTTGGGGGATTCATTCCCCTCTAATGGTTGAATTGTGGCAGTGGTTCTAGGTTTGTGCAGATCCTAAAATAGAGGTGGCCAAGGTGTGGAGGAAATGCCAATGTCAGTTGAAACTTAGGATGTCACGATGAACAATTGCAGAATGAATGGATTCGTTTGCAAGATAGGTTTAGTGAGATAAGGGAAGCTCCAGGTAGACACAAGATATATTGGAGGTTAGAAAATTCCAGGAAATTCACTACAAAGTCCATGTACAAGTTTATGGCCTGTGGAGGGGTCAAGAATAATTCAAGGTTGAGTGAGATCTGGGAGTGCAGAATTCCCCTTAAAGTACAAATCTTCCTATGGATGGCGTTTCATGATAGCATCCGGTGTGGAGTGCAGCTAAAAAATTAGATTGGGGAGGATTTGGGGCTTAACTCCTTCGATTTAGCATGGAAACAATCAATAATATGGCATGTGAGGAACTGATTTGGTACGAGAGCATGGCCCATTTGGCGCTTGACAATGGGGTGGAGCACAGAATCGGGGAGGAGAGAGACGGGAGAACAAAAAGTGACGGCTTCTCGCTTTCATCGAGTTGCTTCTCGCTTTCATCGAGTTGAAATAGAGCTTTTTTCTTATACCTTTCAGTCGGGAGAAAAGGCAAGCGCCCACTTTGCAATCTCTCTTCTAACATGATCATTTTTTCGTGACGTGGATCTTCTTTTCATCGGCGGAATGGCTGATAGACGTTAGTGTTATACTAGCTCTAAGCGGGAAAGGTTAATGTTGGCTGTTGCAGTGGCCAAAGTTGCATTATGAGCGTAGAATCCTCCGCTCTATCCGTCCTAAAATAAGTGTCACTATAGGACGTATGTTGGTACTGGTCAAACTTTCTCAAGCTTGACTGTATTTGTAGAAAATATTAGCAACACTTATATATCTAAATAAGTTTATTTAAAAAATATATTTATGATTTATCTAATAATACTAATTATGCTCTATAAATATTAATATTTTTATATATATTTGGTCAAACTTAACAATATTTGACTTCTCAGGAAATGAAAATGATACATCTTTTAAGACAGAGGGAGTATACATGGCGTTGGCGTTCATTTCAATAAAGCAGACATACACATGTGACTAGATACATACTTCCTTTGTCCCCTTTTAATAGTCATTATGGGAAGTGTGCTGATTAAACTTTCTTATGTTTGACTAGTTTTTTAAAAAAATATTAACAATATTTATCTTTCTAAATAAGTTTATTATAAAAGAAGATTCAATGATCTATCTAATGATACTAATTGTATACCATAAGTATTAGTATTTTTTTTTATATATTTGGTCAAATTTGAGTACGTTTTATTTCTTGGAAAGCGAGAATGACAGATAAAAAGGAACGGAGGGAGTAGGATGCAAACTAGGGCATGCAAGTACGCTTTATTTCTTGGAAAACTAGAACGATAGATAAATTTGGCTCTGTTCGTTTGGCTGAAATTAGCTGAAAACACTTTTCTAGCTGAATTGTTGTGAGAGAAAAACACTGTTCCGACTGAAAAAACAAACTGAATAGTACCGTTTTTAAGGTCAGCCGAATGGGGCCAAAAAAGGAACGGAGGGAGTAGGATGCAAACTAGGGCATGCAAGCTGGACCTCAGTCAGGATGAGAGGCAGGAGACGAAATCAAATGGGTTGAACATATAGATTTTACAAACATAACATAAAAAATGAAAATTATAATGTAGCAAATTAAGTCTAATGGAACTGTAGTTTGCTAGTCCTCATCGGATTTTTTTCGCTCTTCTACAAACAATGGCTAAAACACCCAGACACGTACGTAGGCACATTGAACAGTACTAACTAGTATTATTAGCTCCTATGAATATCTTTAGCCGGCGTAGTAGCAGCACTACTAGTATCCCCTCCTTTTATTTTGTTTTTCTTTGCATATATCAAATAAAATTGCTCTAAGTTGATTTAAGGAGCCACGAGCTCATTAGGGCTCGAGCAAGGCCCAATTTGTTTTAGGCCTGCCAGCCTTGCTCAATCCCTGGCGGGCTTCAAGCCATTGCTGAGCCAAGCCCAAAATGCTGGGCTCTAGTGGGTTTTAATCTTCCAACTTATCTTCACCGATAAAAAACAGTTTAAATGGAGCATTAGCTATTCTTTTTCCTATAATGGATGAAATTCCTGCCTTGCAAGTGAAGCTAAGTAAGCAAGTCGTGTGTTGGTGTTGCCGGGCGTGCCCTATTTGTAGTGCGTGGCTGGTGGTGGCCCGGCCGGCCGGCGGGCGCCGGCAAAACTGGCAGGGCACAAGGGGCGCCACTCCATCCGATCCTACGCGCCATGCATGTGTTTGCTAGTCGTCGTTGCTAATCCTGGTTAGTTGCTATACATGCATATACGTGAGGATACGTACGTGTTATTAGGCTGCAGCTGGCCAGGGCCTATAGCTAATTAAGTTTGGAATACTACGAGGATCGGATGGTACATCGATATTGTACGTGTTACTTGCATTTAATTTGCGGAATTGATATAGAGCGGGTGTCCGGATGAGGACGGACGCATCCGACCTGTGCCGAACCAACTCACCCGCCTTCCTCGCTCCTCCTTATCTCTTTCCTCGAGCCGCACTCCCGCAGCGCTCGCGCTTCCATTCTACTGCTGCGCCCGCTCGCCTGCCATGACGGACACCGCGCGCCGGCCGCCCCGCTCGCCCGCCGGCGCTCCCTCCCTCCCTCTCTCCCCCTTTGCGACCTGCTACCCCGCGCCCCCAGCGACCAGGCTCCCGCTCCCCCAACCGGAGACGAGGACGACGGCAGCGGCACCGACGAGGTAGGTCGTTCCTCCTCTGGATCTAAGTCCTCCTCCTCCTCTCGATCTGAGGGACGCAGCGTTGGCTAAGGTTCCGGCGACCTCTGTGGTCCTATTCCCTCCTCCCTCCGGCGAGCTCAAAGGCGATGGACCTGGGGCTCGAGCAGCCTGCACCTTGAACCCATCCCTTTGCTGTTTTGTACGCCTTTTTCTGTTTCTCCGTGTTGCAGGGGGGATTTTTGATGTTGCAACAGATGATTTTCGTATGTTGCGATAGGTGATTTCATGTGCTACAGAAAGCGAGTTCTAATGTTTTTTTGGGATTGTTGCAATAGAGGATCTTAATTGTTGAAATTACATTTTTCAAATATTGTAGCACTAAAAGGTGATTTTTGAGATGTTTCCATTTTCATGTTTTATGGTTAATTTTTTAAGACGTTGTAGTACTACTGTTTTAGATGTTGCAGTACAAATTTTTCAATGTTGCATTACATAATTCCCTATGTTGCAGTATATTTTTTCGTTGTTGCACTGTATAGTTTTGTGATGTTGCAGTATTCATATCCCGATGTTGCACTATATTTTTTGCGATGTTGCACTTAAAAGTGTTTTGTGCTCTTGGGACCGAGGGCGCGGTGGGGAACTATCCTCGTTTGCCAGTTGGAGCGAACAGGCTGAATGAGTGTCAATTGAGCTGCCCTCGTTTGCTAGTTGGAGCTTTTTGGTACTTCTTTATCTTTCCTAATTTTTTTCCTAGGACTACTAGGAGCTTTTTTCCGGTAGTACCTCTCGTTCCGTAATAGACGTGGACAGTGTACTACGAAACGGAGGGAATGAATAAACAACAGATTCTGCTCACATCGCATGGTTACGTTGATCTCTACTACAGGCAGAAGGGACAAATTTGAGTTAGGAATAATCTCCTAACAAACAAGTAGAAGTTAGCCCGTGCGTCACTATCCTGCTAGAGATCCTTCGTGCTTCCATCATTATACATGATCTTAACGTATATTTCTAACTCTTTCACACACAAAGCATTCTAACCATGCGACGTCTTTTCATAAGTAGGGGATACAATGCGATGGGAAGGAAAATCAAATCATTCGTAGAGAGGAACTCGTCTGTTCGATTAAAACTCTGCGGAGCGAGCGATTGATTCCTCCTCTTTCCATTCTGTTGTGACGAGCGTTGATCGGCGACGATGTCGACTGGCGACAGGAAGAAGACGGCGTGTCACGGGAGCGAACGGCTACATCGCCTCGGCGCTCATCAAGATGCTGCTGGAGAAGGGCTACGCCGTCAAGACGACGGTCAGGAACCCCTGTTCGGTCCCTGCCTTTTCAACTAAGTTTTTCTCGTTCTTGTTTGTCGCCAAAATTGACCGGTAAATCTGGAATATTCGAGTGCTAATCTTGCCTACATATATACATCTGGAATCGAATCCTGTATTAGCAAAGGTGACAAATATGCATCAGCTGTTGCAAGATGTTCACCACGATTCCAAATCACACCCAACGTGCTTGGCCGTTTTGATTCTAAAACCGCAGATGATATGGCGAAGAACTCCCACCTCAAGGACCTGCAGGCGCTCGGCCCCCTGGAGGTCTTCCGCGCCGACCTCGACGAAGAAGGCAGCTTGGACGACGCCGTCGCCGGCTGCGACTACGCTTTCCTAGTCGCCGCTCCGGTGAAACTCAAGTCAGAGAACCCTCAGGTAACCAGGCAGTAGTTAGTACTAACAATAAACTATTCCGCTATAATACCCAGTAGACATTGTGCATTCAGTACGAAGAAGTGCGATAGTAGCTCAAAGCCTGAAACCAACTCGATCGCGTCATGGCAGAAAGAAGTGATCGAGCCCGCCGTCAGGGGAACTCTGAACGTGATGAGGTCGTGCGTGAAGGCCGGGACGGTGAAGCGCGTGATCCTGACCTCGTCAGCGGCCTCGGTCGTCAGGAGGCAGCTGCAAGGCGAGGGGCATGTCCTAGACGAGGAGTCCTGGTCAGACGTCGAGTACCTCACCGCCACCAAGTCTGGCCTCTGGGTACGTACACGTTCAGCTTAGTTCACTTCCGCACCCTTCCATTCCACGCTAAGACTGAAGCGTGTATCGCAGGCGTACCCGGTGTCCAAGGTCCTCCTGGAGAAGGCAGCGAGCAGGTTCGCCGCGGAGCACGGCGTGAGCCTCGTCACCGTCTGCCCCGTCTTCACCGTGGGCGCGGCGCCGGCACCGAGCGCACGTACCAGCGTCCCCAGCTGCCTCTCCCTTCTATCCGGTGAGGCCGAGATCGCGATCGTCAGTTCTTGCGTCTTCTTTTCATGGCACGCGCGTCGGCTTCTCAGCTCGATCGCATGATTGTTTCAGGCGACGAGGCAGAGTTCGGCGTGCTGAGAGCCCTTGAGATGGGGACAGGCACGGTGGCGCTGGTCCACGTCGACGACGTCTGCCGCGCCGAGGTGTTCCTCGCCGAGCAGGAGGCGGCCGCGGGGAGGTACCTCTGCTGCGGCCTCAACACGACCATCCTCCAGCTCGCACGTTTCCTGTCTGAGAAGTACCCGCAGTACACTGTGAAGACGAATCTGCTGTAAGAATCGGCTTCCGCCGAGCTCTCAACTCTGACACTTGCTTTGCAGTTTTGCACTGACGAACGAACGAACGAACGATGGCTAGTGATTTACTATGCGCTTCCACTTTGCCTGCAGCTCCGGCGATCTGCTTGAGAAGCCGAGAGTACGCGTGTCGTCCGGGAAACTGGTGAAGGAAGGGTTCGACTACAATTACAAGATGCTGGATGGGATGTATGATGGCATGATAGACTACGACAAGGCCTTGGGAATTCTGCCATAGTATAATGTTACTCGTCTGCTGTGTATGCATGATCACAATTTTAGAACTCCAAACCAAGTTCGTTCAGAATAATGTGGAGCCGATCCCAAACTCCACTTTAATTTATTTTCCTGGATCGGAGTTTACGGTGCTTCCATTTTTGGCTAGCGACGTTTGAAGTGAAGGAATTCTAAATATACTGTATATAAGAGCATCTTCAAGAGATTAGCCAAATCGTTTTCTAAAGGTAAATATGACTATTATCGAAGGAAAAACATCTCCCACAGACTTTGTAAATGACTCTCCAAATTTAGTAGCTCTCTATTCCACCTCATTTGTTCTCTACTTTTGGATAGCCCACCTCACTAGCCATCTTTTATAGAGTTTGTTGGAGTACACTAATATTTTTTGTCAAATCTATTTTAGAAAGAACCTAAATCCGTAAGTTTGGCTAGTCTTTTTTAGCCAATCTCTTGGAGATAGCTCTAATTAAGAGTTTGTTTGGCAGAGTTTCTACACCAGCTTTAGGAGCAGTTTGTTCAATTTCTTACAAAAACCGGTGAAAAAGAAAATTCTTCCGTGGAGCTATGGAGATTTTTTTTATTTCTAACTCTTTTTTAAACCAAATTCTAAATCTAACACCATTGTTTTTTTTTATTTTTAAATTTAATCCGTTTGGCCACGTCTAAGTCCCTGCCGCGGACAAAACGCGCTGTCGTGCCACATGCATCGGCGCGGCACGGTCTGCCACGGTAGACAATGATTTCCACGTGAAAAAACTTGCCGCGCCAATAGTGGCGCGGCAGCACTGTAGCACCGCGCCAACCAGGCTGGCGCGGCGAGGCGCAAATTTAGAAAAATTGTATGTTTTTCATATAATCTCAGATGAAGATAATCTTTATATGAAAATTGTATTTTTTGATGCGATCTACAATTTTCTAGTTATGAGTTTTTTCATTTGAAGTTGTTAAGATGACCAAAAAATTAAACAAAGTTTCAGCAGTATATTAATCGCGTACAAGCGCTTGTATCGTCGGAAAAATAATATCTTTCTTATACGGTGTCAAATGGAGATACTTTCTATATGAAAGTTGTAGCTCTCGATGGGTTCTACAAATTTGTAGTTTTGAGTTTTTGCATATGAGATCACTAAAATGCTCAAAAAAATAATATAAACTTTCAGCTTCGTATTAATTGCGTACAAGCTCTTGCCGCCTGGAAAAATCATATCTTTTTTGTATGGTGCCAAGAAGATATTTTTTCCATAAAAGTTGTAGCTCTTGATGAGTTCTATAACTTTATAGTTTTAAGTTGTTTCATTTGATGTCGTTATCTTGGGCGGCGACGTGACCGACTATAAGACTGAAGACTTTGTTTTCTTTTGTAAATTGTATGGGAGTGAGAAAGTTTATTTTGTCGCAACAAAAAAACCATGACAAGAAAATACGAAAAACAAAATGCATAGCATAAAGACATTTTGTCGTGACAGAATTGATTGTTTATAGTGACAATTCTTTTGGTCGCCAATACTAGTTTTAATGGTATGAACAAATCTCTTTCTTTCTGGAAAATGGCGTTAGCGATTGAAATACTTTTAAAATGATTTCTGTCCACGATGAAACCGACCAATTATAGCCCAAAGAGTTCAAACCAACTGCACTTATTTTGCCTTCTAACGTGACAGAGGTACAGAAACAGAACCTCATCATATAGGTACTGACTGAACTGCTACGGTTCAGTAAACTTGTACTCCCTCCGTCCCGTTAAGATTGTCGCTCGGGAAGCGGGATTGTGAGGGGGGCACGGTTTTCCAACGACAAACTCAATGGGACGGAGGGAGTAAGTTGTAGCATACTCCGTACTAGACTTGTTCTGCAGGAGGGTTCTGACTCTTCAAGTCCTGATCGCTGGCCGAAAGCAGAGGAGCACCACATCAGGTGGGCAGGATTCCCAGGGCCTTGCCATACTCGACCATGTCGTCGTACATGTCATCCAGCGTCCTGTACCTGAACTCGAACCCTTCCCTCACCAGCTTCTCGGACGACAGACGCACTCTCGGCTTCTGAAGCCGCTCGCCGGAGCTGATTGCAAAATTGGAGGCAAACGGCATCAGTCAGTCACCAGTGGCCAAATTGTTGTCAGAATCCAGAGCTGCGAAGCCGGTTCTTTCTTACAGCAGGTTCGTTTTCACGCCGTACTGCGGGTATTTATCCGCGAGGAAACGCGCGAGCTCGGCGATGGTCGTGTTGAGGCTGCAGCAGATGTACCTCCCCGCTGCCGCGTCCTCCTCGGCGACGAACAGCTCGGCGCGGCAGAGGTCGTCGACGTGGACCAGCGGCACGCACCCGGTGGCCCTCTCGTTGGCGTCCAGCACCGCGAACTCTGCCTCGTCGCCTGAAAATGGTACCACATGACCACCATATGCATGTGTGCCATGCACACCAAACCACGTCGCCTTGAGCCTCACCGGATAGAAGGGAGAGGCAGTTTGGGACGCTGGTGCGGACCTTGGGTGCTGGCGCCGCGCCGACGGTGGTGACGGGGCAAACGGTGACGAGGCTGATGCGGTGCTCCGCCGCGAACCTGCACGCCTCCTTCTCCAGGAGCACCTTGGACGCCGGGTACGCCTACAATGCAAGCAAGCACATCCAGCAGCGCGCGTTCTCAACTTCTAGGCGTCGTCAAAGCTGCCATCTGTTAGTTGATCTCCACCAATAGGTTGCGCTACGATGATCGTGGGCGCCTAACTTTAATATGGTTGGTGGGTCCGTCGCACAAAGACGATATAAAAGATATGTGGGGTTCACGGCTCTAACTACGAGGTCGTTGACCGGAGCCGCCAGAACCATCAACAGAAAACCTAATCCGATCTAAAGTAAGTCTTTGCCAATGACGGAAGCCCCACCAACTCCGCCGTCTCCTTTGGACCTCACCATCATCTTATTTGGACTCCACCGCGCCGAGCTTCCTCGACACCGGCGTCCACGAGGCTGCGGCGCAACTACGCCAGGGCGAACTAAAGGAACCCTAAGTAAGATGCTTAGGCACACTGTTATCCTTACAATGGTACCAGAGCCAAGGTTGCCTAATGTCTAAATCTAGTATGGGGTAGAGCATTGAAAAATAGAAAAGAAAGAACAAGGGTTCGATCCGTTTCGGATTGAAACCCTAACCCTAACTGGGTAAAAGAAAAGAGAACATAAGGGTGGCGGGCGTCCCTGAAAGCCAGTCACCACCGCCACCGCGCGGGGAAAGGTGCCGCACCGCCGTCCTCGTCGGCGCACGGCAAGAAAAGAACTGACCTAGTTCGGATCCGAGGAAAGGAGTAAGGGGAAGAAGAACATTAATTCCTAACCCTAACCCTAACCCTAACTGGGTGAAGAGGAAGGGCCCTCGGCTCACGAGGCCGAACCCTAAAACTCGTAAAGAATCCATGGGGATGATACACAGTGAATCCCTAACCCAAGATTGTAACCCTAGAACGAATCCCCATCCCGATCTCGAATCAAAACCGATTGTAACCCTAGAACGAATCCCCATCCCGATCTCGAATCAAAACCGAGAGAAAAACCGAATCGGGTTCAACCGAATCCTAACCCTAACTCGCATGAAGAAGGGGAAGAGAGCGATTCAGTATAAATAGAAAAGAAATCAAATAAAAAGATGAACCGAATCGAACGAATCGAATCAGGAAGAGAAACCCTAACCCTAGATCCCCAAATCGGTTGAATCCGAGAAGAAGCTATGGAAATCCAAAAGAAAAACAAGATCCAAATCGGAGAAGAAGGGGAAAAAGGGGAAGGGGTCTACCTCGCCGTGCACCGGGCTAACCCTTCGCCGACGCGGGACAAGAGGGCTGAGCCGGGGGGAGATGTTTCGCCCGGGCTCGTCGGCAAAAAGCGCCAGTGGTGGGCCCCTCGATAGGGCGCGCCACCGGCTGGGAACGCAAGACGTCGGCGAGGGGGCCGGCGACGGCGCCATGGCTGCCCGCTCCTCTGCCTCGCTTCGCAGTATCGCTTTCATTGCTATTTGGGGAAAGAGGCGAAGAGAGAGAAAGGGCAGGAAGCAAATGAACTAGGGTTTTGGGGATGAGCCGCGGCGGGGTTTTTTTGTTCGGGCGAGATGCGCGGACGTCCGTTGGATCGGATCCAACGGTGCAGATCAACAGGGCCGGCTTACGGCCCAGGCAGAGCGGTGCGGGGCGCGCACGTGTGGGCTGAATTTCTGGCCTAGGCCTAGGTTGCGGCCTGGGCGTGGGGACGGCACGACGCGCATGACTGCTGGGCCGGGGTTTCACGCTGGGCCGTGACGGCAAGCAAAGCTGGGCCGAGCTGTTGCAGGTTTTGAGCCCAAGCGATAGAGTCATTTTTCCTTTTTTTTCTAGAAATGGTTTTATTTCCTGGAAAATGGATAAATGGCTTAAAGAAAATAGAAGAGAGATTTGTCCTGTGGGCAAAATTGATTGAATTGAATTATTTTTCTGCTGCTAAAGAAATTATTTATTCTCCAGTTATTTTCAACCAACATGATATTTAATTGGAGAAAAAGAGATTTTGACTTGATTATGATGTTGTTATTTTCTGACCAACGTTGTTAATAACAATATCGTAATTTAATGATTTTATGCATTAATTCTATTTCTGTCCAACGGTGATGTAGAATTAGTGTGTAATAACAATTGTAAATTTGAATGATTTTATACATTAATTCTATTTCTGCCTAACGGTGATGTAGAATTAGTGTATAAGAACAGTTGTATGTTTTAATTTTGATCAACGTTGGAATCAAGACATGCAATTGTTAGAGATCCCCACTACACGGAGTGGAAGAAAAAGATTGACCTGGTCTTTATTTTGGCTGAGGTGGACTGGGTAGTCATCTCACCATGTTCCACTGATCCTGTGACACTGGTGAGGGAGACAAACGAGACTGATGTCGTTTAGACAACTAAAGAGAGAGATTTTGAATCCTAAAAGATGTCCTATGACTTTGAGCATAGGAAATGGGTCACTGTCAACAAG